CACAGCGAACGGCTCTTGGCGAAGCGGATGTACACCCGTGTGATGCAGGGTGACGGAGGCCAAGCGGTAAGCTTGATATTAACTTAAAAACGAGTTCGTTATTCACCAGGTTAAGCCCACTGTGCTGTCGCCTCTTGTACAGAGGCGACCTGGCCACACGTGACAATAGCTCATCATCGACGTGGCTGATCCCATCATCTTCATCGCAGTGGCTGATATCATCACCATCACACGTGGGAATTTATAGCGGCAGCCAAATAATCTGAGCGTCGCGTGACGATTCTCAATGCGGAGAGGGGGGGTGGAGGAGCCAAGAGAACAATCCACGCCACGACCACCACGGGGGGAGAGAGAGGGAGAACTCGCAAACTCCAATTAAAGAACAGGCACCGCCAGGGCCCGGGATCGAACCCACCTCCCTCCTTGCGCACCAGGCGAGGGGCAAGCGTCTCCTCGCCGCTGCGGTGCCCACGTGGGACGGTCCCTCCGGAGCGCGCGGCGTTCCGTCGTCTTCCGGAGCCGTTCCTTAACAAGGTTGGGGAGGGGGTGGTATGGAGGGGGCAGTGGGGGGGGCGGGCTCCGGCAGCGTTGCCGTTCGTGAAGAACGCAGAACGGGCAATCGCAGCCGCCCGCTGGGAAGGGTGAAGGGTCACCGGCCTCGTCCTCCACGCTGGCCGGGCGTCTCCGTGGGGGGCCGACGTCACCCACGCTTTACCCCACCGCGTACGCGACCCGCTGACGACGCTAACCCGTGGGTGATGGCCCCCGTTGCTTGGGTGGAGGAGCGAGGATGCGAGGGAGCGTTGTAAGAAACCCGCGCAGTTTGTTTCCACTTTGCCTCTCCGCGGAGATGGGGTTGAACGGGCGGCGTGAGCGACACCCAACCCTGGCAGCGCCGGGGCGGCTCACTTTCATCCGCAAATAGAGAAAACGGCGTGGGGGGGGGGCTGAAATCAAGCAAGGGAGGCAAGAGATATGCAAAGGAAATGATCAATATTATGCAAATGCAGGCTTATTTGTGGACACGCTCTGGTGGGGGTTAGGGGGCGTAGAGAGACCGGGCGATTGGTTCTCCCATCAAAGGGAACTTTTCCGCTGATATTTTTTTCTCTCCTCACGCCAGCGCGTGCCACCGCGCGACCCTGAACTTCTCCGCAGGCAAATCGCGGACAATTGCGGTGTTTAATTTTGGGGCGTTCGTTACAATCTTAGAAAATAATCGGCGGTGTACGAGGGATCGTGGGTGTAGAGGGCAGCTGCCCCGTGTGTCTGCATGCAGGCCGTGTGTACTTTTACTGTTTTTTATATTAACTTTATTTTTTATTTTACCCAGGTAAGGCCTCACTGAGCTGCCACAGAGCTCAGTGTGGCCTGGCTATCACAAATCAGAACTCAACGGAAGTGGCTTCTGATCTCGTGGAAATCCATAGCTGCGGCCAAACACTCTGAACGCACGATGTTGTTCATTAATGTGGAGGGAAAAACCGGAGGACCCAGAAAAAAATCCACGCGACCACGGGGAGAGAGAGAGAGACATGCAAACTCCAAATATAGAGCAGCAGCAGCAGGCGTCAGGGTCGGGATCGAACCCACGACCTCTTGTATACCAGGCGAGGTAGTTAACATCTCCTAGCCACCGTGATGTTGATGATGAGAGAGAGAGAGACACGCAAACTCCAAATATACAGCAGCAGCAGCAGCAGGCGTCAGGGTCGGGATCGAACTCACGCCCTCCTGTATACCAGGCGAGGACGATGACATCTCCTAGCCACCGTGGGGGTGTGTGTGTGTGTGGGAAGACACCTTGACTTTTGACGTTATTTTCCACTGTTGTAGCAGTGCCTCGTGTGGGTGGAAGCCACCAAGGTTATCGGTGGCACAGCCTTTGTGAATCCTCAGACAGAGGTACCCAGATATAACCTAGGGCTCGTACGCAGCAGTCTCTGTCGTTCTAGCTTCGTGTCAGTGACGTGACCGCTATGAACCCTCTGAGAGAGAGAGGGAGAGACATCCAAAACTCGGGGGGGGGGGATTTTTTATGAAATGAAAACCGCAAAGCGAGCTGCTCCACCGACGTGAGTTTCACTTCTCGTGGAAAGAGGGAAAAAAAATTGCAATCGAAATCTGTGCCGGCGTGGATTTCTGTGGATTTCATCTCTGTTTGAGCGCGGGAGCGGGAAAAACGGCGACGACACCCGTGGCGTCCTCACCACGGGCCCACGGGCCCACGGGCCCACGGAGCCCACGGGCCCACGGGCCCCCGGAGCCCACGGGCCCCCGGGGCCCACGGGCCGCGCCGGCTCCAACGCCTGCGGCCCCGACGCCGATCATGGCGAGGAAGGGAGTCCCCGAGGCGCCGTCGTTCCCTCCTCGCCCCGTTTGGAAACGGCCCGCCCGGCTGGCAGAGTAACGGCCGGCGTATTAGACTCAATCATTCGACGCGTCCCATTGTCCGGCGGTTAAATTTGCGGGCGTTCATCTATCGGCGAGTGGGTTCAGGGCTTCGTGACGGCCGTGCCAGACGTGTTAAGCAAAGCACCACTGACACGCACGGGTCAAGCCCTGCATCTGGGTGGGTCTCTGAGTGTTGTCACCAGGGCCGTGTTTGGGACATTGCACCAGCACTGTGGAGTTACTGGGTTCAAGCCCTGGCTCTGGGTGTCTCTCGAATGGGTTAATAATGGCCGTGTCGGAGACACTGAGCCAGCGACACCGAGATCCTAGGTCTGGCTGTCTCTTTCCCCCTTCTTACACAGTTGACGCATCCTTCAAGGACCACTCTCTCAGTCTCATCAACATCACCACCACCGCCTGGCTTGAGGTCTTCTCATTCCCTTTCAGCGCCACTCCTTTGCCCATCTCGGTCACCTGCCCTCTTTCTCCACCCTGCACACCACTCGTCCCACCCATCACCACCTCTTCTTCCACCCTGCACACCACTCGTCCCACCCATCACCACCTCTTCTTCCACCCTGCACACCACTCGTCCCACCCATCACCACCTCTTCTTCCACCCTGCACACCACTCGTCCCACCCATCACCACCTCTTCTTCCACCCTGCACACCACTCGTCCCACCCATCACCACCTCCCCCTCCACCCTGCACACCACTCGTCCCACCCATCACTACCTCCTCCTCCACCCTGCACACCACTCATCCCACCCATCACCACCTCCTCCTCCACCCTGCACACCACTCGTCCCACCCATCACCACCTCCCCCTCCACCGATGTCCCCTGACCTCCGCTCCTGGCACGAGTCTTGCCACGGCATCGCCTCTCTAAGCCGTGGCGAAATGCTCGCTCCAGACGGCAAGTTGGTGAATACGTTGGTTGATTTGTATTTTTTACACTCACACCACAGACTGAACACGGTTTGTTTTACTTACGTACTTGATAATGCTATTGTCGTAATGTGCCCTTTAGTCGAGTGTGAGTAATTCCTTTGTAATTTGATCCCCCCGCCACCACCATACAAGGATGAGGTTTTGTGTTGATTTGACGCTAACTCTGGCCGACATCCAGAGCTGATGCCAATCGATTTGGGATAATTGCCAGCGCAAGCACACAAAGACAAAGAGACCCCGTATAGCCTGCGGCAGACTGTTGTCTATGTGGCTACGTAGACAACACTGGCACGGCACACGAGGCGGTGGGTGGCCGGCACCACGCCCGACCGCCTTTGTCTCCCCAGTGGCGATGTTTACACACCGCACCAGGTACTCAGCTGAGGCTGAGTCAACCTAGGGGAGGCCCAGGACCGGTTCAAATAATTGTCACCGGTGTTGGCCATAAGCGGGAATCTAACTCGAGGTCCTAGGTTCGTAGTGCAGCACGCTGTCCGCTACGCATACACACATAGACACGCACACGTAGCCACATAGACACACACATACACACACATACACACACACGTAGCCACATAGACACACATACAAACAGCTACATAGACACACATACACACGCACACGTAGCCACATAGACACACACACGTAGCCACACACACACACAAGCATAGCCACAGACACACACACGTAGCTACATAGACACACATACAAACAGCTACATAGACACACACACACAGCCACATAGCCACACACACAGCCACATAGCCATACACACACAGCCACACAGCCACACGCACAGCCACATAGTCATACACACACATACTTAGCCACATACACACACGCACGTGCACACACATACCCACGCAGATGTGTGTGTGTGCGCGTGTAAATGGACACATAACCACATACACGCATACACACAAACACACTTTACCCAAACACGGGTCAACAGTCTATAACTCATACCATACACACAAACACATGTAAACACACCAATGCAAATACACCAACACACACCCACGTATAAATAGCCACACAGATCAATACACACAACAACAGCCGCCATTCGCCACCGGTGATGTCACCACGGTGCCTTGCCAGGCTAGGTGCACCTTGGAGCCATCACTTGTAGTGTTGAAGCCTCACTGCTGACAGGTCATGGGACAGACCCAGGGGTTTTGGGTTGACTGAGATGACTGTAAAGACACACACCGACCCGCCTGCCCGCAGACAAAATAAAGACAAAGGCTCCACGTATAGCCTCAACAGACTGTTGGGGCAAGTGCTGTTAGCGAGCACCTATGTGGGCCGGCACGGCACACGAGGGGGTGGGTGGCCACACCACGCCTGACCGCCTTTGTCTCCCCAGTGGCGATGTTTACATACCACACCAGGTACTCATTTGAGGCTGCGTTGACCTAGGGGAGGCCCAAGACCGGTTCAGAGAATCGTCACCGGTAGTTGAACGGGAATCGAACTCGGGTCGCCGGGTTCGTAGCGCAGCGTAGCGCTAACCACTACACTATCGCTCCCCACTCCATCCCACATACACACACGCAGACACACACCGCAGACACACACCGCAGACACACGCAGACACACACGCAGACACACCGCAGACACACACACACGCAGACACACACACGCAGACACACACACGCAGACACACACACGCAGACACACACACGCAGACACACACACAGACATCCAATTCCAGATATTTCCCGAATTCGCCATGAGTTGCCCAAACGTCCCAAGGCCTTCATTGCGAAAAGGAAAGTGTGGAAATGCGGAGGGGCGGTGACGCAAGACGCTCGCGTTTCTCCGTGGGACACCGACCAAGTGACAGCTGGCGTGAAGCGGCATCTGGAAGTGGAGAGCCCAAGTGGAGCGAGATCTAGAGTGGAGATCTGGAGTGAGATCTAGAGTGGAGTGAGATCTAGAGTGGAGTGAGATCTAGAGTGGAGTGAGATCTAGAGTGGAGATCTAGAGTGGAGATCTATAGTGAGATCTAGAGTGGAGCGAGATCTAGAGTGGAGTGAGATCTAGAGTGGAGATCTAGAGTGGAGATCTGGAGTGGAGATCTATAGTGGAGTGAGATCTAGAGTGGAGATCTAGAGTGGATATCTAGAGTGGAGTGAGATCTAGAGTGGAGAGCCGGAGTGGAGTGACATCTCGACTGTCTCTGGCCAGACCAAGGGGACGCGTGGTGGCCCTGTGCAGGTGAGTGGTGGCGTCAGGATGTAACGCGGCTCTGCGTGGGGGCCCACAGCTCGCCTTGAGCCGCGATTGCTCCGTTGGGGGAGGGGGGGGGGTAATTTCATCTTCAAGTTCTGGTTTTGACGTCGATTTTACCCTCGCAGTATTTTCTATTCCTCGTATGAGATTGCGTTTTTAAAAAATAGATTTTTACGCTCGTAGCTGCGCTCTTTTTTTGCGTCTGTCGCTTTTTTTTGGTGGCGACCCCTGGGTCCAAACGGCTCATCCCGGTCTCCTTGCGAGTCTGCCCCGCGCCGTGCCCGTGGGGGGAGCGTGGTTTTTTTGGCCATGCTTCACGCCGGTCGGTGCGGATTTGCCGAAAATGTCGGGCGACGTAGTTGGACGTGGGAGCGTACGAGTACGGTGCGACGTCGGATTTTTGGCTGCGCCGCGAGGACAATAATAACAACAGCAGCAGCAGCAGTCGTATTGAACGCCACCTATTTACCCGGAAGACTGTCGGGAATTTCGTGGCAGGATAAGGGTGGGCAGCTTGGAGGTTGGCACGCAGAATGCCTGGGGCCGGCAAGTACTGCAGGTGTGGATGGGAAGAGGCGGCGACGGAGGTTGTGACGGGTGGAGGGGCGCGGGCAGGTGGCCAGGCGGGCGTTGGAGTGGCACCCAGAGGTTGGCGACCAAGCGGGGGGGGGGGGGGGGGGGGGGGGAGAGCTTTAGCCAGGTGGTGGCGGTGGCACCGCGAGGTCGTCTCTGGTTACTGAGTAATCCGCCGTCAACTCGGCAAGTGAATCATTCACGGGGGCGCCTCGCGAGCCTCCTCGCGGGGCGCCGCTTCGCATCGCCGAGCGTGCGCCCGCCACGTCGCTCCCAGCCCCACGGCCGCCCTGGTTAATAACCGCGGTTGTAAGACGGCCGCGGCTCACGGTGGACGCTGGGAGAAACGGAAAATAACTTTAAATTGGGGAAAACCGCGCGGCGGCGGCAAGTACCAGCAGCCTGCGTAGCCGCGACGCATCCGTGAGGCACGGCAGCGCCTTCACGATAGCGCTGGCGCTCTGGGATCAGCATCTCGAGTACTCGTGGTGATCGGATGTGAATGGGGTGTGTGTGTGTGTATGGGGTGTGTGTATGTATGGGGTGTGTGTGTGTATGGGGTGTGTGTGTATGTATGGGGTGTGTGTGTGTGTGTATGTATGGGGTGTGTGTGTGTATGTATGGGGTGTGTGTGTATGTATGGGGTGTGTGTGTGTATGTATGGGGTGTGTGTGTGTATGGGGTGTGTGTGTATGGGGGGTGTGTGTGTGTGTATGGGGGGTGTGTGTATGGGGGGTGTGTGTGTGTGTATGGGGGGTGTGTGTGTGTGTATGGGGGGTGTGTGTGTGTATGGGGGGTGTGTGTGTGTATGGGGTGTGTGTGTGTGTATGGGGGGTGTGTGTGTGTATGGGGTGTGTGTGTGTGTATGGGGTGTGTGTGTGTATGGGGTGTGTGTGTGTATGGGGTGGGTGTGTGTGTGTGTATGGGGTGTGTGTGTGTATGGCGTGTGTGTGTATGGCGTGTGTGTGTGTGTGGCGTGTGTGTGTGTGTGTATGGGGTGTGTGTGTATGGGGTGTGTGTGTATAGGGTGTGTGTGTGTGTGTATGGGGTGTGTGTGTGTAAATTGGGAACCATGGAATTTACATTGAGATGGGCGACTTAAGACAGGGCCCGTGTGTACATTGAACAACTTTAGCACCGTACGTAGCCAACCGTGCCAATCGGAGGATGGCTGAGTGTGTGGGTGAGTGACTACGTGTGTGGGTGAGTGACTACGTGAGTGGGTGAGTGACTATGTGAGTCTATGTGTGTCTGTTGGACTTATTTCGCACCGTACGTAGCCAACCGTGCCAATCGGAGGTGCGGGGAACGACAACAAACTAAACGTGCATGGGCTTACGTCAAGATCGAGCGCTGACACAGGACCAGCATTGTTACATTGTGATCATCGGCTTGCATAGGGCCAATAGGGTTACATCGGGATCATAGATTTTCACGTAACACAGTCTTACAGAAGGCAACAGCTGTGCGAAATGGTTAATGGACTCATTCAAATTACATTGGATCGTTTGATTGTAGCGGTCAACTTCCTCGTCTTTTTGTATGAGGATCCCGAGCTGCCGCCGATGTTTCGTGGAGTCCTCGCGTTGCGAATCCAGGGACCCTCAAGACTCCTCGGGGCACCAAGCCTTTGGCTAGTGCCGCTCACAGCCAGCCTCGCCACCGGTGGAAATTCCACATTCCCATGGCGGTGACCGTGGGAGAGAGCGCGTGGTGCCGGCCACAACCCCCTACGTGCGCCACGCCGAACCGTGTGGTATGGCGTGCGACGTAACGTAAACTAATAAACTGTTTATTATTTATTCCAGTTAAAGCCCACTGAGCTACGTCGCTCTTTATCAGAAGCGACCCGGCCACAGATGATAGCTACGATAAAGCGGCTTATCATCGTGTGGAAATTTTATAGCAGCCAAATTCTCAACTAGTCAGGGTTGTCACGTAAACAGAACGTGCCAATTCGTCACTAGTACAGCACGCCGGTGTGTTGGAGAGCCAAGCCACAACATTTACGAACTGAGTGCGACGTTTTGCCAGTAATTACAACTAGCTTCATCAGGCGACAGCCAGATTTGTGGAGAAGTCCACCTGATTATACAGCAGGCGTCATGGTCGGGATCGAACCCATGACCTCTTGTATACCAGGCGAGGTAGTTAACATCTCCTAGCCACCGTGGCGCCCCCTAATGTGGGTTTTGGGGTGGGGGTGGGGGTAAAAAGGGAATTGTGGGGTCCCTCCGAACGGGCGATTGGGGTTTGGGTGCGAGCGGCGATAGTGGCGAGATCAGTTAAACGTTGGGCCCTTGCAGTGTCGCGATAAAATAAACACGCGCGCACACGCACATCTGCAGCTTGGGGGAGGGGACTGAGGGTGGGGGTCACGCAGCTCCGCAGACCCCGGCAGAAGTCGCGGAGAGATCCCCGCCCCCGCGGTCGCGCTCGTTTGCCACCACGACGCTCTCGTCCACGAGCGCGAGCGGCCTCCCGGCCGTTGCGGGCTCCGGCTGCGTTCGGTCGGATGGCCGTCGGGGGGGGGGGGAGGGGGGAGGTATTGGACGCTGGCGTGTGAACGCGTCACCTCGTTAGTAACGTCGTCGTGGTCGTCCCTGTCGTGGTTTGTTGTTCGTTCCCGTGCCTCCCAGGAGGGCACCTGGAGGCACGGGAACGAACGCCACGTTTGAGATGCTCCATGGGGAAGCGAGCGGACAGGCCCCAGAAACACACTCCCTTGCCAAATCACTCGCCAAACCACTCCCTCGCCGAACCACTCGCTCGCCGAACCACTCGCTCGCCCAACCACTCCCTCGCCCAACCACTCGCTCGCCCAACCACTCGCTCACCCAACCACTCGCGCGCCCAACCACTCGCTCGCCCAACCACTCGCTCGCCCAACCACTCGCCCAACCGCTCGACCAACCGCTCGCTCGCCCAACCACTTGCTCGCCCAACCGCTCCCTCGCCCAACCACTCACGCGCCCAACCACTCGCTCGCCCAACCACTCACGCGCCCAACCACTCACGCGCCCAACCGCTCGCTCGCCCAACCGATTGCTCGCCCAACCGCTCCCTCGCCCAACCACTCACGCACCCAACCGCTCGCTCGCCCAACCGCTCGCTCGCCCAGCCGCTCGCTCGCCCAACCGCTCCCTCGCCCAACCGCTCGCTCGCCCAACCGCTTGCTCGCCCAACCGCTCGCTCGCCCAACCGCTCGCTCGCCCAACCGCTCGCTCGCCCAACCGCTCCCTCGCCCAACCGCTCCCTCGCCCAACCGCTCGCTCGCCCAACCGCTCGCTCGCCCAACCGCTCCCTCGCCCAACCGCTCGCTCGCCCAACCGCTCCCTCGCCCAACCGCTCGCTCGCCCAACCGCTCCCTCGCCCAACCGCTCGCTCGCCCAACCGCTCCCTCGCCCAACCGCTCCCTCGCCCAACCGCTCCCTCGCCGAACCACTCCCTCGCCCAACCGCTCCCTCGCTCAACCGCTCCCTCGCCCAACCACTCCCTCGCCGAACCACCCACTCAGCCAAATATCTCTCACCCACCCACTCAACAATTCATTCACCCCCCCCCCCCGCCACCAACTGACCTACCAAACACTCACTCATTCACCCACTCGGTCATCCACTCCAACCACCCCACCACTCGCTCGCTCACTCGCACACAATAATCGTAATCATTGATTTCCGTCGCGATGCCGCGCCCTCTGCGCGCGGTCCGTCAGCGCGTCGGCGAGCCTGAGACAATAACCCGGCAGGGGAAGCTGACTGCAGAGCAGATGGAAGTGTTCGCGAGCGACTCGGGTGGAGACCAGGCCCAAAACAACAAAACAGGAGGACAACGCTGAGCAGCCACTTGTGTGCCCTGTCCGCTTCGCTTGAGTTCGGGCAACACAAAAGGCGCGCAAACGAATATTGGCAACCGAATTTGTCAGTGGGAATCCTCAAATGGTCCAAGTTTGTTGTCACGGTAAATGCTTGGTTTGGCGTTGGAGTGGACGCGTCACGGCGACTAGGGCCCGGTGGTCGAGAACGACAACGGAGCGGCGGCCAAGGCACGGAACGCGTCCTGGAGGAGAAGGGGCTGTGACAATCGGCTCCACAGTCAGCTCCCCGTGCGTAGGGGAAAGCGCTGGGGTGGAGGACCGTCGCGTCGCAGGATCGCGAGGGGCAGCGGCGGTGGCGGCGGTGGCTTGGGGGGGCGGAGGCCTTCGTCCAGCAGAGGATTGACCGTGGCTTGGTGGTAGTGGTGAGGTGGGGAGCGGCAGCGTAGCGGTCGATCGCTGTAACGTAAATCTGCCTGCGCGGGGCTCCCCTGGGTGGCAATATATAATTGTGTCACTTTACCGCAATCGGTAAAACATTTACATCTTACATTTTTTTTTAAAAGAAGTCTGGCACGTGTTCCCTCGGAGTCAGCAC